CCCATTTTTCGTCCCCAGTCACAATGCGATGCAGAAAGCCTTTCCGTCTTTGCCTTTCAAGCAGCTGTTCACAAGTAAACAAACGCCGTTCAACATCTCTCGACTTCAACTCGTACGGCACCCAATTTCCTTGCTTCTGAATCATTCCCATGGCTGATTGAGTCCTAATGATCGTGCCAATTCTTTTCGATTTTGACAAGAGTCTTGATCAAGTAATGCCTTCAATTCTTCATCTTCGAAAACCTTCTCTCTTCCACCGCTATGCTGGTCTTTGACGTGAAAATCACCGTTCTTGAAGCGTTGAAACCACTTACGACACGTTCTTTCACTAATAGCGGCTTCACCATAAATATTTGAGAGCATTCGATGAGCCTCAGCCGCAGATTTCTTCATATTGAAGCAGAAAATTAAAACCTCCCGCAAATGACAAGAATTTGGCTCGTAAACTGACATTTTCAATCGAGAATAACTTTATGATGCAGACACAAATCGACTAATATTTCTATGGGGTTATGTTGACAGATGCCCAAGTTTATTGTGTGACGTCTATGATCTATTTATTTCGATCACCACTTACCGCTAAAGTCATCTATACGAAAAAGGTATAAGCAAAGTTATACACATTGTGTATAACTTTGTATGGTGTGTGTGTGTGTGTGTGTGTGTGTGTGTATTTGTACAACATAATTTAATAGTAAATTACATTATAATAAATTTCAGATATAATGTTAAAGGTTGTTTTTTTTTCTAATTTGTCACTTGATCATCAAGAAATTATTTAACAATCCACTAATATATGAAACAGTTTGAATATATAAATTATAAACAGCTCAAATCGTTTGAACTCTTCCTGGGAGTAAATGAATCAACAATTCAATAATAAATTCAAGTAAAAGAGATATCATTTTCTATGTTGTAGATATGTATTTTAATCTAACTGTTCAAAGTTAAATTAAATTTATGTATTTTAACCTTCGTCAAATTTTTCTTTTTTTTTCCATTGCTTTATTGAATATTATAATGTGTGTTTAAATAGTTTGATTTTTTATGTATTTGTATGTAAATTCTTGTTATAAGTATCTTCTGTATTTAAATTTTCTTTTTTTTGTTCTACGTCCTTGCAAAAAGAAAAAAAGAGAACATCGGAATGTTTTATTTATTTTTAGAAAAAGACTTTATTGCACATAAAATGTCTACATGAAAAATTACAAAAATGTGATTACTAAATCATTTCCGTATATTAACAAAAAAGTATACAGATTTGAAGAAATCGCACGGTCGAGCTGTCTTGAAATGAAAACGTCCGAAATGAAAAATAATTTTGACTCCACCTTTTCATACCGCCATTTTAAAATACATTTCATTTATTTTATATATTATTTATAATTCTCTTTGCAATTATCAAATTTGTTCGGAATTAAATTTTGTACATAAGTGTAATAATGTTATTATTATTAAGTAATATTATTACTATAAAAGAAAAAACAAATATATTTAAAGTAATTATTCTTATTTGCGGTGAATACTATTTTTTCCTTGAATTGTCCTTAATTATCTAAATTGTTATTACGTTGATTATTGTAAATAAATCATATAGTTTAAGAATATGTATTACACATGTTTACAAAATAATAAAAACATTAAAAAAAATTACACATTATTTTTAATTGTATTTAAAAGTAAAACAAAATAAAATATTTAACGGCGGTTTAAAATTTGTAGAATCTAAAATTATTTTAAAATACTTTAAGTATTTAAAATAATATAAAGTTATATATTGCAATGTACTATTATAGATTAATAATTCTCTCATTGCAATAAAACTTTGTATAAATTATTTTGAGTACGTGTTCAAAACATTTATGTAAAACAATTAAAATTATTGTCATTGAAATTTTGAATTTTAGTGTTATATAACAATAAAAAATAATAACAACTAAATTAAATAAACTACAAAAAAGAATTGTTTAATAAGAACAGAACGTTATAGATAACTTACATATACATAGAGTTTATTTAAAATACAAATATTAATACATTATAAAAATTGTGCAACACATACTTTATAATCATTAATTCCACACAAAGCTCAGACGTTTTCATTTCAAGACAGCTCGACCGTGCGATTTCTTCAAATCTGTATACTTTTTTGTTAATATACGGAAATGATTGAGTAATCACATTTTTGTAATTTTTCATGCAGACATTTTATGTGCAATAAAGTCTTTTTCTAAAAATAAATATAATTGATAACTATCTTGATAACATTTTTTTTTAAATACGTAAAAAACGTAAAAATCGCGAAGGAAATAATAATGAATATGATTCCAATAAGAAAAAATTTTTCGCGACCATACTTAAGCAAAGTTTCTGAAAAATTCAAAAAACTTGCATATATTCATAGTTTTAATATAGCTTATAAACCGATGAATAAATTAAATAGAATTACAAAAATAGGAAAAGATCCCTTGCTTAAGGATGACCATTGTGAGATAGTTTATAAAATTAATTGTTTGAATTGCGAATCGTCGTATGTTGGCCAAACTAAGAGAAAATTAAAAACTCGTATTAAAGAACACAAGACTGATATTAAGAAATCTACTTCTGAGATATCAGTTGTTTCACGTCATCGTGTGAATGAAATGCATGAGTTTGATTGTGATAACATAAAAATTTTAGATACAGAACAATCATTGATGAAACGAAGAATTTCAGAAATGATACCTATTAAAAACCAAATAAGTGGGATCAATAAACAAAGTGATACTGAACTTTGCCTGATGTTTATCTTTCTCTTCTAAAGAAAGATCTTTCTCGCACTTAATAAATAATTCTAGAACTTTCTAAACTATTTGATTCATGGATATAAATAGCAGAAAAATATGTGATACAATCAATAATAACACATAATGTCACGACAAATTTCTATCTGTGCAATGATTATACTTGAAATTCATCGATTTATTTTGCTGTAAAACAGGTAATGTTTCTTTTGTTTTATACTCCGTTTTAAAAGATATTAATAATAAAATAAATTATTGTAAATTAGAATCTGGAAATTCTCGTTCTACACTTTTCACTATATGACTTCTGACGTTCTAACATTATTATACGAAGCAGCGTCGCATAGATGCAAACACGATTTTTACAATTATAACACACGACGGTTGAATTTTATTCCAACTTGATGTAACTCTGCGTCTTAAGAATATTATTAATTTTACTGAAGATGGCCAGATTGTGGCCGAAACATATGTTATAATTTAATGTTTTTATTGTAATTCGTAATGCAAGAATAATTAAATATCACTAACTACAACTTGCGCTGTGGTTCTTTATGCTCTTTCTTTTCATATTTGTTTTTTTGTTGGAATAATCACACGTTCCGCAACGTCATATAAAGGTGGGGAAGACTTGTGGCTTTCAAACAATTCTGATTGTTTCACAGTTCCCATTGGCGATTCGTGCTGACCTAGTCTTCCAAAAGGCCTTTCCTTTTTCTCTGCCTTTTGCTATCCACTCGCCATTTACGACGAAGAGAGAGACAAAGACTAGTGAATCAACTATTTAGCTCGATCCTACGTTGGTGCTTATGCTCGTTTTCATAATATCTAACTAAATATTTCGATGTAAATGAATCGAAGTCTCAATGAATGAAAGATAGTTCTAAAAAACGTGAAAATTATTTTAAAAACAAAGTTGTGTGCGATTCTGAAGATCAGCGATTGACTGTTCGATTTTCAAGACCTTTACGAGTCATTGAGATAATTCTGGTGAGTACTCATATTTCTTTATATTCTTGCATTTCGTTACTGAAAAATATTTTGATTATATCAATAAAATACGCTAAAATTTTAATAAAATTATATATATCTTATTATGGTTGAACTCAATATTTTATAGCAAAAACTTTAATGAACTTAATTAAGGATTTAGTTAATATTTAGTTAATATTTTTAATTAGATTGGGTTAGAATTAAAATTCGAATTCTATTTACTAAAATGTTCTTATTAAAAAATTTTGTGATATTAAAAAGCGAAAGCTGTAATAATAATAAAAATAATTACAATAACTTAGAGAATTGTTTATATATAAAATGCTTATATATAACATAATAAATCGAAACTAGTACTATGGTAGCAACAATACGCTAAAAAAAAGTAATCACGAATATTTAAAATTTTACTCATTAAGATATTAATGATATTTATTTAATACTTTTTACGTATCATCATTGTACTTTGTTCGCATTGCGTTTTAAACTCGTTAAAATATGCTGAATAAAACAGTAGATTTTATTAATGTTTATTCATAAGTATATGTATATATACTTATAAATAAACATTAATAAAATCTATTTTCATTCTAAAATCTATGTTTCAGCATATTTTAACATGTGCGTGTGCGTGTACGTGTACGTGTGCGTGTGCGTGTGCGTGTGCGTGCGTGCGTGCGTGCGTGCGTGTGTGATTGTGTGTGTATATGTGTGTGTGTGTGTGTAAAACTTCTACTGATGTATCATTCATTTTGTGATAATAATAATAACAATAACAATATCAACAGAAACAATAACAATAATTTGTATTATAATATATACTTGGAAATAATTATATATATAATAAAATATGTTTTACTTTTTTATTTTTAAGATGTTTTTTTAACAACCTTTTTTTTAAGCAACAATTTTTTTCTATTTAGCATTCTTTTCTACTTTTATAGAAACTTAATATTAGTACTAATTAATTAGTCACTTACTTTGAATATTAAAAATATTGTTAATAATATTTTTAATATTGTAAATAATTTATTGGCCAGTGTTAATATTAAAAATTTATGCACACATAATAATTCTTCACATATATAATAATAATATATTTTTAATAGTTTTTATTAGAAAAAATAATATATATATATTTTTAATAGTATATAAATGTATGGAAAAAGACAATAATATCATATGTATGTTGATCGATAAATTGAATAAAATGATGTATAAATTAATAGACTAATTTCGTTAACATATATATATATATATATAATTAGTTTTCCTTTCACATAACATACTTCTACGCAAATTATATTCACATTTACATTTAATATGTTTGTTACAAGAAGAAACTTATTCTGTGGAAAAAGTTTTACTCTTCTAGGAGGACAACAAGTTTCATTTTGCAAGAAGAAAAATTTTCTTGTAAAATATTTGCAACGCAAATATGTTGATCAAATACATAATGTATGTATGTCAGACAAAGCCAGGTCAAAGTGGGAAATAGATTTAAAAATTTAAAAATTAACGTCTAGTTTGCTAATAACAAAGCAAAATAATAGACAAAGATGTTTCTTTGGAAATGTTTGTATATTCTGTCAAAACAATTGTATTTGCTTATTTAACGAGTGTGTGTAATTTTCTGAATTATTCAGAAAAATTTCAGTGTCAAAATAAAACTGTAAATTTATTTCGCAGCAAACGTAAGAGCGTTAGACAAAATGAGTTCGACATTCTCGCGCAACAAAGTTAAATTACTGAAATGGATAGGCTATGATAACAAGCTACAGGCTGCGTAATAATCGTAGGATGACTGTTATCTTTCCCAAGTGAGTTCGGAAGTACTCTTGATAGAAGGATAAAGCCTAATTTGAGTGTTCATATAATTTCAATTAATAATATGCGATTCACTTTTGAAATTCTGGTATTGTTAGAAGAGTTAAATTATATATATGTAATATTCGGAAAATTATTGTTCCTAAATTGAATTTTCTATTATAAATGAAAATATTATATTATAAATTCTTAAAAAATTGGAGAATTAAATCATTGTTAGAAAAGAATTACATACATGCGGATTATTTCCTTGTCTAGATCCATTGTTAGAATATTAATATTTCGTGAACATTGCAGTTTACTTTATGCAAGGAGCAGTCTGATCAGTAAATGCGTACACTGTAAAAAATAAAATGTTAATTTTAACTTAAAAACGTAGACATTTGAGACATGCAAAAATTTTTGAGACATACATAAAATTAACAAAAAAAATGTTAAGTATCAGAAAATCTACTATACATTTTTAAGTTAAAATTAATTTTTTTATTTTTTAGGGTATATCAATATGTATTAGTTAATACACATATATTAAATAAAAAGATTAAATACTTTTATATATTAAATTTTAAATGCGTTTATTAATTAAAATGTTTATACATATTTCTGTATTGCTTTTAAATTGTGAATGGAAACTTTTGTTTTTTTTTTCCGAATCAATATGGAAAGATAGTAATTTATTCAAAAGAGAGAAAATTCGGAAATGTATGTCGACATTTTCTTATATAAGTCTTGAAGTAGCTCATTATATTCAGCTTTTCATGTTAGCGACAAAACTTGTACTACACATATAATTTACATACACGCACATACACAATCATATTTGTACTTCCGTGACATAACTGAAAAGACTTTAATGAATATGTACTTAGATTCTCGACTGTCTGAAAACGTATAAAAGTAGTATTTTGGTCTCGTTTCAATTTACTTTCGCGCATTCGTTGAAATTATATTTATCTTCGTAAAGCTTGCAAAATCGACATAGCAAGTGAGTTGACGAAATATCGGAGCCGGTTGTTACACCTTCGGCTAAATGTAGTAATTTATCTAAAGCCTAAAAGAGAGAGCAAGGAAAGAGAGAGAGAGAGAGAGAGAGAGAGAGAGAGAGAATAAGCTGATTGTGAGATTAATCGAAAGTTGAACTAATCTTGGACAATCTACTTATGTGTAGTAAAGGCATTTTATATTTATGTTAAATTGATACTCAACATTTCTTAGTATTAAAACATAGATATAAAATATATAGTTTATAAATTTAATCAAATAATAAATAACATAAAAATAATATAATTTTAAAATATAAATCTAAATATATAAAAATAATTTAAAATATTATTATTATTTAAAAAATATTTTCTAAAATTTGTTTCCAAATTATATTAAAGTAAGAGAAAGAATCCTATTTATAGTCGAAGTGAATCTTGATGGTTAATAATATTTATATACAAAAATTCACAAATATATTTTTTTATAAATTGAGCACCGATTTGCATTTGAAATACGAGTCCGACAAGTCGAAGCAGCACAGAATTTATAGAAAAATATATTTACAAAATTTATATATAAATATTATTAAGCACCAAGATTCAATTGAAAATAGAATTTTTCTTTTATTTGATTTAATATTATCTCATTATGTCATTACATTTTTTTGTGTTAAATTTTATACAACATTTCTATTACCTTTTAACCATATTTATCTTGTGATAAATTAACAAAAATTAGACCATTTGGGATATGTAAAATGTGTTAAATTTTCACATAAATTTTCCAGCTGTATTATCTTCGGTGGATAATAATTCAATTGCTATAATTTTCTAACAGATACTCATTGAGCTGCGATCTTAAATATAATGACATCAACCGCGACTATCAAGGACAAACCTCCGATGATTACAGTATGCAAACAAGAATTATACGAACACTGGCTGAAAAATGCTCCAAAGATCATGTTCGGTGAACATCAACTATCTATTGAAATAAGTGAAATCGATGAGTTCTTCATCCTGAAGGCCAAGAAAGATTTACGGGAGACACCAGAAATTGTTGCTCAAGGTTTCAAGGAATTAAGAGAGCTGCTTGCAGGTAACAAAAGTTTAATTGTATCAATGTAATTATACATTATTCTGTTATTATTCTGTTATTTCGGCAAAATTGATGTCTTAGATTAAAGGACGAGCAGTAGCACGTTAACCTATGGGTTTTTGGGACTTGGTCCTTAGGGCATCGAAATGTCAGGGCGCCTGGGATTGCTACAATTTAAAAAGTAAATGTAAATCCAACGTTAAGGAACACTGTTTTATAATAACGATTCTCTCTAATCCTAAACTTATCATAGTAGTTATCATAGTAGTTAAATGGATTAAAGGTCAAACTTTCAGGCTTTCACCAGCAGATCTATTCTGTATCTACTCTTGACGAAAATATCGTTATAATACCATAATGCAGTTTTTTTATCATGGTAAAAAAGCAGCGCAATGATATTATAATAAAACTTGTGTTAAGAATAACAAAATAGTCTTGCAGCACTGTTTTGTAAGAACAATGTGATAACAACGTAGCAATATTGCATTTCATGATGGTAGCAATAATAAAGAGTTTGGATAATTGTTTTAAAAAAGAAGTCGATACTATTACACGTTATTTTTGAAAAATGTCTTTGCAACGTCTATGCGATGGTTTTGTCATGGAAAATTGCGACGTTATCATTTCAAAAAAGATCATCAGAAAATCATAGAAGTAGGCGTTTCTATCGGAAACGCTTAAAGATCATAAGCCCTTGGGCGCAAATTTTGTTAACGTGGTCTTGAGTACGAGAAGTAAGAAAGAAAATCAGTATTCCATAAACCAGTTTGAATTAAACCTTCAATTTTCTTGTACGATGATCAGTTGAGAGCTCGGACGCTTGATATTCTTGGTTTCATTTTCTTCCTGTATAGAATATAAGAAGAAAATAAAACCAAGGACATCATGCACCCAAACATTTTTTCTTACGTATTTGTTTTTATTCTTCGACCGGTTTCCTATGTATCGTAAAACGAAAGCGAAATTAAGCAAAGTGTTGTTCTTGACATTTTCTTTCTTGTAATATTGATTTCACTTGAAAATTGCTCTTACCTAATTAAAGAAACGTAAGTTATCATTAGAACAAATTGCGTTGAATTTTACGTTTGCAAAATTTAAAGAGAAACTAAAAATAATTAATCCGCGCAGAGAGGCGCGATAAGTGCAACAAAAAATTTCCTTTTTACGTAATATTTAATTATATCTGGAAATTCTAGCAAAATGCAATGATTTGCTCAATTAGACAAACTAGAATGCTGTATCATTGTAAAAAAATTATGCAATTCACAAAATTGACCGATCAATCCTTTTTTACGTAACTCATAGAATATAGCGATTAATTCTTTTTATTCAGAGAATGTTAGCGAATGATAGATCGAGCAACAGTATGACATTTTTTGACATCCAATTGAATTGAATTATTAAAACGTAACTTTGAACTAATAACATAATTTTGTTAGATTGAATTTTAATATATAGATAACAAAAAAGATTTTTATGTGAGAAAAATAATAATGATTATATAATATAAAGTCATTTTAAATGTACATGTATTTATAATACGTATTTAATATAAAATTAATAAAATATATTTTATTTACAATTTGATGATAGAACAAAACATATAAAAAAATTAATATAAGTTTAGTGCACTCTTGTACATACTATAACCAAATTGGATATTAAAAATTATTAACTGAAGAGTAACTCAACAGAGATAACGAGTTTTGCAATTCATAAATAAATATAATTATTTAATTATATTTTAAAATTCGATTAGTCTTAATACGACAACAGTTCTTACTTCAATAATAACATGTCTGCATTGTATTACTTATTAGCGGAAAATAAGATTCTATTGTCAATATATATGATTCGTATTCAAACCTCTTAGATTCTAATAGAATAGAATAGTTAGTAGAATAGAATAGTAGGATTTGAATCTCTATGATAAATTGAGTCGAATTACTTATCAGTTTAATTTGTAATATTATTCTAATTCATTTGTAATAGCGTTTTAAGATTAAAAAAAATTTCGGCACGCGGTTTGCACAAATTGGATTGTATATGAATTCACACCAAAACATTGAAGCACGAAAAGATCCGCTGTGAACAAAAATAGGATTTTTCTTAATTGGTTGAATACTTTTTTGTTATATTATGTTATTATATCGTACGAAATATTTCTTAAGAATTGTCCAATATTTTAAAAGTTAATTTTTATAGTCATTTTATGAAAAAAATATTTGTGTATACAATCGCAAAGAACTCATTTCGGATATATAGGATATTAAAAAAATCTACAAAATTATTATATTTTCTTTTTCCACACTCTGCATCTATCTTAAATGAAGACTTTGATTATTATATAATTATATTCATACAAATTATTCATAAAATGACTAAGAAATCAATGCCTAAGATATTAGATATTACTCAAAAAACACCTTGTATATAATAATAATTCTATTATATTAATAATTGACGATGTTTCTCAAAACTGTAACTTTTTATTTGTAGAATAATTTTTACACGTCTCGCTCGTGTGAAAAGCAAAAAGCGTGACTTCGTTAGAGATTAGAACCAAGATTACGAAGCTGCAGGCACAAGCAACTTTCATTTTTACTAGATTCATGTGAATACGGTTGAATTCATCTGGCATATTCATATACTTTTACTATTGTTAAATTGACCGTTGCAAAACATATGTGATAATTGCACGCAAAATTTCATTTTTATTCTGGAAACTAGAGATGTGCGAATCATTCGAATAGGAATCGAGTAAGATTGGAATTAGAATAATATCACAAATTAAATTGATAAGTAATTTAATAATATTGATTCTAATAAGCATCTTAGAAAATTCTAATAAGTATCTAATTAATAATTTGATGTTAATAAGGATATTAAAATAGTTTTAAATATAACAAGGCCAAGAAAATGAGCAAAAATTACGATGATTACTTAATAGAAATCTTTATCATTTATTAACAATTTAATGGAACGTTTTACTTTACTTAGCTATCTTCAGCCATCAAAAAAAATTAATATTGCAAAACAATTTTAAAATTAATTCATAAGGGATCACACGCAACAATCTTAAACCAATATTTAACGACACTAATAATGAAAATACGAGGCGCAGTATTTTTGCAAAGTGTAATTTGTTCTTAAAGTTTACTATTATTGTCGAAATGTAATGTAATGTCGAACCAAGGATCAATTTCATTGCCATGCAGAAGTGGGGCAGTCAAAGGTAAAGATATACAATATAATCAACCGTAAAGAATCGTGTAAAGACTCAAATGTCTTACTACTTAAATAAAAAAAATATATATGTGATTCTTAAAAATATTATTTTTGAATGAAATATCGTTAATTTGGAAAGATATCGTTAGTATGGAAAGATTTAAATATCTATTACTGTTTTTTTTACAATCACTACATTATTGTTGTAAAAAAATATATTTTAAATACGACGAAATAAAATGTTACTCTTAGCAGGTAAGCCTATTATATTTTATGCGCATATATTTTATGTATTAGTACATATATAATAATATAGCTTTTCTTATCCTTGACCTGATTTTATTTGCACAAGTTATACGCAAAATATTCTATATATTAGAACACAGAATTGGAATATAAACTTTTAATTTTTTTTGTTTCTTTAATAAACTTTATTTTGTTAAACTTATAAATCGTTTATTATTATTTATCTTTTTTTGTTTCTATAGGAGAACCTGATCTGCACGTACCGGACATAGACGATTTTTACATAACATTCTTGCGACCATGTAAATGGTATGCGAAAAGCGCTTTCTCGCTCGTAAGTCATACCTCATAATATTTTCACGAATTAATTTTGCTTCGAGCACTGCTTATTTATAAAAATCACCGCAGTAATTAAATGTTCAGAATTACATTACAAAAATCCTATAAAATGTTCTATAAAAATTTTTTTTGCCTAATTTGGTATTGTGTTTTTCCTACTGAACATAAAGGAAAAATCAAGGGGGTAACCACTCTTGAATTCCGGTGTACAATCTGTCAGAAGTTCGATGAAGTCCGGTGAAGCCCGATAAAGTTTGATTCTTCGAAGTCCGATGAAGTCCAGAGAAGTCCGATGAATTCATGAATTCCGATAAAGTCCGAAGAATTCCGATAAAGTCCAGTGAAATCTTGAAGTCCAGGTGTACATCTATTTTTTGAGTGGTTACCTCTCGGGAAAAAATTAATAGAAAAGAAAACAGATAACAAAATTATTCAATTAATTGCAACGAGACTTATTGTTAATATTAGAGAAGACTGGGGTCTGTTGAACATTTTTTGAATAATTATTTGAAAAATATAGGCGCAAGATTTTAAAATATTATATACGTTATATTACACATTCTTTAGGTATTAATAATATATTATTCTTACATTATATCATATAAATAAGTTATTTAATTTTGAATAAAACTATCAAATGTGACAATTTTAGTCTCGTAATTAGGATTGATTATCATATGTAAATTTAATATTTCATAAAATAATAGTAATTATATTTCATAAAATAATAATAATTATAATATTAATACAAGTAAAATAATTATTCTAATCATAAAATACGTTGTTCTGTATTATAATTTCGGTATTATAATTTGTAAAAAATAAAAAAAATGTATATGAAATATATTTGTAAACACACATGTATCCTTTAAAAACGTCAATCTAAAAATATAAAATTGACTTATTTCTCAAATCGTTCTTAATGTCTTCTCTCGTCTTATTATGGTCAATCTACCCCACTCTGCATTTATTATAAAATTTGACAATAATAATTAATTGTTTTTAAATAATTATTATATCATTGCCAAAATATTTATATTTTACTTAACAGATAAAACGATACTATCGGTTCCGCTTAAATTATCCACACATATATACCGATTTGTTGATCACTAAACAGAAGACTGCACTTTGCGCCGGTTTAATATATCCGTTGCCGATTCGTACTCAAGAAGGAAGCAGAGTGCTAATAGTCGAAGCCGGAAAACGATGGAAACCGAAGGAGGTGTCGACCAGTGACTTTTTTAAAGGCCTGATATTGGTCTTATATTTGGCGATGGTGGAATACAAAACTCAGGTTGACAAAAAAATATTTCTTTGATGGAGATCTTTAAGATATAGATCGGCATTTATTAATACTTAAAATTAATTTTGAATTTTTAATAAGAGATTTGCATATATTGTAGGGATGTTCAAATCGATCTCCAAAAAAAATTGATCTCCCCAAACGAGAATATAGCAATTTTAAATTGATTTATTTTATAAAAAACTTATTTTTCTAACTAAAGGAAACTATTTTAAATTGATGTCTTTGTAAAGAATAGCTTTTTTTTTTAATAAGGAGAATTATTTTGAAGCAATCATTTTACAAAATATCGATTTTTAGCGAATCGATCCAGGGAACGCGTATCCCTATTTAATTTGTGATCTCTAATGCTACGTAAGTAAATGTGCACTTATAATTACGAAACTTTTTGTTTCTTAGATCGCAGGTGCGCATATCATTTTAGACGTCGAAGGTTTATCTCTTAGCCATGTGACGTATATTACACCAAGTTTTGCTAAAATGATAGTAGATTTTATACAAAGATGTATGCCCACCCGGCTCAAAGGTATCCATATTGTGAATCAATCCTTCATTTTCAACATGGCATTTGCAATATTCAAACCATTCCTGGAGGTATGATCTTATGATTTTAAGTTATATAACGATCTTATGATTTACCCTCATAAATTGCGTAATAATAAACTTTTAGAAAATTATAAAACTTTTAATAAAATCTTTATAACACGTTCATGTATTGCATATCACAGGAGAAAATTCGCAATCGGATTCACTTTCATGGAACAAATTGGGATTCCTTAAAGGATTTCATTGATAAAAGAGCATTGCTTAAGAAGCATGGGGGCGAGTTAAAAATGGCTGAAGGACAATACGGCGTAATTTTTTGGCAGAATATGCTTTCATGTGAACCCGCCTTCGAAGGTAATGGTATATAACAATGATGTATTAGGAAAACAATGATTCGTAGCACATTCCAAAAGAATAAATCTCACTCTAAAAAGAGTGAAAATCTGCCACTTTTGAACAAAAGTAGCATTTTCATTCTTTTTTCAAGACAGGCTAAATTTTCAGTTTTTTCGAATGAGATTTCACTCCGCGAAATTTAGAAAATATATATTGTATACTAGTTAAATAATATATATTTCATAATGGCTAAAAATTACAAAAATTATTAATATAACTCGTACAACACAGAAGCTTACAATATTGCAATTTTCGCAATATTATTGCAATATTACTGGAATGTTGTAATAATACGATCTGTGCTGTGTATTACCAATTTTCCTTTGATTACTGATCGGACATTTCTAAAATCTGAGATATTTGTCTGAGAAGAAAGATTATAAGTTGATGAGAAACGTATGGATGTATATATATATCCTATTTATTTTTATAATTAAATTTCAGTATTCTTAAAATTCTATTTCTTTTCTGATTAGCGTTTAAAAGAAGTAACTTATCCTTATCATTTTTTAAAATAAAACTCGCAAATTCAAAACAGCCTTCTGATAACATTGGTGGGGTCTTCTCTACTGAAAAAATATAAAAGACAATGCTGTCACACTCAAAGAAAAAATTTCCATCTCATGGTTTAATCACATTGTGTATTTCTGTGATCAATGACAAATATTATATATATTTTATTGACCAATGATTAACTTTCAAATATTAACTATTCGTAAAACTGGACTTTTTGTCTTATTTATAACTAGATACCAAACAAAAATCTCCAAAACTGGACTGTTCGATTAAAAACTGGACGGTTGACAATACTAAAGCTATATCTGCGGAAAGAAGATTAATGTATCATGTATCATAATTATGTACTCATATAAAAAATTATATTATAATTACGTTTCTTTTATAGGATAAAAGAAATATATATATAATTTATATATTTCTTTTATATATACAGGGTATCCTGTAATTCATTCGATAACGCTCGTGGGCAGGTAGAATGGAACTAAGTCGAAAAGTCTTCTACTATTTTGTAATTTTCGCAATAATTAACAAAATATTAATTATTAAAAATTGCCGAATATTAGTGTTCGATAATTTTTTTCTCAAATACTATCAACTTTATAAAAAAACTGCAAAAGACAAAAATTGTTTATTTTCTTTTCATAGAAGTCTAATTTTTTTAGAATTTTTTATCAACTTTTTAGTACTGCATATTATTGCTTAACTTATTTTTACCAATATGAGAAAATATGGTAAAAAATTCTGAAAAAAATTCTGAAAAAATTCTCAGAACTTTATAAGAAGAAACTAAACAATTTTTGTCCCCTATAGTTTTTCTGTAAAAAATTGATAGTATTTGAGAAAAAAATTATTGAAAACAATTTTTAATAATTAATATCTTGTTAACTATTGCAAAATGTTAGAGAACTTTTCGATTTAGTTTAGTCTACTTTATCTGAGTGTTGTCCTCTAAATTACGGACACTCTGTATATGTATATCCAAAATATCATGATCTGAATGAAAAGTCCACCCTAAGTCACTTGTGATCGAGGCACACGTATAAATGATAATGAAACAAATACATTATGATCTTATTTCAATAAATGTTTTAATTAATTATTTGTTAATACTGTACATTAAATTAATAAAAGTTTTTCAAACTGTTGTTGCCTAATATTGTTAACACAATATTTATTTTCTTCCATGTATACACACACACACACACACACACACACACACACACACACACATGACATATACATATATAAACTAATGTTTGGCTTGTGATTTGAATCAATAAAAATATATATTTTGTTTCAGCTGAGCAAACTTATGGATACGTAACTAATAAAGATAAGAAATGATCTCTACAGAAATTTGATCGGTCAATACGTTACTATCATCAATCATTATGGTTTGAAACCATACTCAAGAAGCTATAATAAAAAATAATAAAATCATTGACGTCCGATACTTGAAAGATGCGGATGTATTTTTAATAAAATACATACAGCTCGCGGGTATCACTTCGTCTGAAATTCGTAATCGTATGAAAAGAAGTGTTTCATCAAATCATGGCATATTAGAAGTAAATTTTGTATTAAAAAAAATACAATATATCAACAGCATTGATAAAAAGTATTACATAAACTGTAATTTATGAGAAGAATTATTTATAGGATCTTTTATTTCTTGGAAAAGTTTCTTGTTTCATCCATCTTTTAAAATTAAGTAATATTAAATGAATACAAAATTATAAATATAGACTAGAGAAGATATTTTAATAATATACAGTGATAGCATCAAAAAAATAAGAGAGAGAAAGAAATTATTGTACATATTAAAAAAGAATATAAGAGAGTCTATAGCCTGATTATAGGTTTTCTAATATATTAAGTGTATTGGAAAATATACTTGTAATACTGTATTTTTTGTTGGTGTTGTGATACGTAATTGCGTATTATCGAGTAAAACACACACATGCGATACATATATATATTTTATAAATATGTCTATAATTTATTAAATATATATTAAGTTCTTATATATATAATAGCAATGATTTTATAACATAATACATACAAATTTAATTTTATGCTAAAATTACAGACCAAGCACATATTTTTTTAGTAGTAGTACATAAGTTACATTTAATTTTAGAATTTTAGAATTTTAAATAAACAGTAAATTATATATATATATACATACATATACATTTTTAATAAATGATATAAATATATTTCAATTATTTCATATATTCATTTGTACGAAATTTATGCAGAATGTATAATATTTTTCACATGATTACAGAGTGATTAAGATTAAAATTAAAATTACTGATCTTAAACAAGATCATTGACCTATACCCCTTAAATAAGATCATTGATATGTAATCAATCTCAATTTTTTCCGTATCAAAATTAAAAAATAAGTAATAATGTAATCATTACGTTATGAATAATTGCATCACTCCTTCGACAATGTTACATTTATCTTATGCAATTTTGCTAAATTGTTGAAACAAGAAATGAGAATTAAAAGACTGTACAATAATATATAATATATGTTATAAATAAATTTACAAAGTGAACAAGGCTTCGTGAAAATAACATTTCGAGGACTGAATATACATATAAGAATGATCTATAATCGTTATAATTTATTTTAAATATAATATTTTTCCTCGGAAATGTCGCGTTTTATAATTGTTTCTTCGTATTTAATCCAAATCCATATTTAATCTACATCTATTTTTTAATGCGACAAAGCAATTGAGAAACTATGTCTTTTTATAGCCGTACGAATTGATAGCTGTAACAGAAAAAAGATCGTTCTTATCGAAAAATTTTATTAAAATACATTCGCGTCAAATAGATTTTGAACTTTATTTTAATTTTGTCATTTTGTTCATTTTGTTACTATTATGAGAGATGTAATTTTCTTTTGACATACCTTCATATTCTTTATCAACCTGTAATAGCAAGGAGTACCATTCGGATCCATTTATCACTTTCATTTCCAGCGTACCATCGTATTGTGCTGGTAGACATTTCGGCGATATGTATTGATGCAATGATTTGCGATCGGTGCCGTGAAAGATTATCTAGCAGAAGAAAAAAGTAAAGAAATATATAAAAACTGAATTAACAAATCAAATCATCAATATTTAAGGAAACTAAATCCTATTTGAAATATAATAATTTAATGTTATTATATAACTTTTAATTCTATTGTTAATCTAAATAACCTATATGCGGCGTATATACATTCTGCAATATTTTACTCTCTTGTTAATTTTGTAACCAAATATTATTTTTTAAACAAAAGTGTCGCCACAATTTTATAGTGTTCTAAGTAATAAATGTTTTTTGTAACTTTAAGTCTAGAATCGATTGAACATTTTGCCAAATATAATTATTAAGTTCCAAATTTAAATACTGATTATTAATCAAGTTATTGTATAAATTTATAATACGTAAATGAGAGTACATCATAATATCATCTTCTCCTCCATATAACTTCTCATCTCTGAATTGCCGCAATATTTTTCTAGAATCTGCTGTTTTACAAATTGATAGCATAGGTATTGCTAATATTTTGATTTGTAATAGACTCACTCTGTTTTTCAACTTCTCTTTCAGGAACGGTTTGAACAGAGCGAACACCATGTTGAATATATACGGTTGATTTACAATGTGTATGTTTTTTACCCTTACAGGCATTGCCTCCTGAAGCAAATCGACTATCCTTTTCGCAAACGGCGGGGTAAATTGCCAGGTTTGCTGAAGGGTGAGACCATCCATGTCAAAAATGACAATCGCGCCAGCGATCTGTGTACTCGGCTCCATCATGGCCGCTTCCAAATACAATACACATCCTTTATAAACTTCGTCGAGACTGCACTTGTTGTGCTTCCATTTCTTGCCAAGTTCAATTATCAGTATACGTCGGCCGAGTTGATCGCGATTAGGCAGCACGGTTAGAATGTTTTGGTCGAAGATATTTTTCTCTCTACTCGGCTTTAAGTTGTCGTACACTTTCGCATGTTTCACCTTAAAGTTGTAATAGTGTTGGATGAGGTTCAAAGATGATTCGGGATAATACTTGCATGGCCTCAGAAATCTAATCAACCAGGCTTCATTGTCCAATGGGCATTTCAAATCTTTTTCAGCTGTCAAATAAAAATTTTAAATAGTTATAAAAAATTTTAAACAATATTTAAAAGTTTAATCCTTACAGTATCATAATCAATTCGGTGTCTTTATTATCTTATGATCTCTATTATCGAGAGTACTTCGAATCTGTTCATCTTTTCATCTATTTAAAATGATTACAAAAAGAAACTTTAAAAATTTGTAAATATATTTTTAACTTTGTAAAACAAATGTTCGAACTTCATTTTGGAAAATAATAAAATGTAGTATAATTTAATTATCGAAGAAGTCATAAAAAATATTATAAATGATAAAAGTTGCATTTGATTAAAAAAATTGTAATTATCTATAATACAATAAATGCACACAAAAAAAAATACTTTAAGATTTTTTTTAATTTAGGAAAGTTTTGAAAAAAATTCAAGAACTTCAAATTCTTCAAAAAATAAAATTTTTAAAGAGTATAGATATGTATATCCAGAATTGAATTTCATGCTATTTACAGTGAAATTGACAGCTACGAGGTCGCCACCGCTCATAAATCTCTTCTTTTACAAATTCTCTTTTAAAAGGAGACTCTCTTTTAAGGATTGACGCGGGTCCGTTCAATGTGCAAGAAATTTGTTTGAACAGGAATCGATTAGTCACGAAATATTCAGAATAGTAATTTTGGAACAAATTACAAAAGAAAAATGACACAAAGTCGCTCGTATATCGTTAACAATCGTTAATAATTAAAATTTAAATGTTTGCCGTATTTAACAAAATATTTAAATCATCCATTAAAAAATTATCTGTAATATCAAATAAAACATGATAAAATTTATCATAATCAAGTGTCATTAAAAAACTTACATCGCAAATATATTCACAATGATCTGTTAAAATGCGACGTACAGTAAAACGTTGTAAGAACTCATATAAGAGATTAAATAAAAATTATTAATATTAGTGCGATAAAGGAGTAATAAATAAATACAACACAAAATGTAAACATTAAAAATAAAATAGGTATTTTTAACGCATAGGTACTTGTTGCGCACTTTTGCGATTAATGCTTAACGCTCAAAGGCAACTATTATCAAGCATAGATTGAAGAAAAATGAAAAATGAGCATTTCGAGTTAGAGAAGAGTTTATGTTGTATAACCGGTATCGGTGATTAGAGATAAATTTTAATTTTTATATTGCAACTATATTTAAAATCTTAAATGCGTTTTTCTGGAAATCATATCTTTCAAGTCGGTTAATATAATTTCTGGAATTACTGAATCTATTAATTTTACCTTTCTAATGTAATGCAAATGTAATGTAAAATACATGTCTGTTTATTGCATGAACTGATTATTGCAATATATATAAATTAATTACTTTTTCATAAATATTAAATTAAAACATTTTGTTAAAAGAATTGATACTTACCTTTTAAAACCATTTATTTGAACAATATTTTTCATTTATCCTAGTTTAAACAATATAGTCATACTAATAATAATAATCAGTAATATTTAAAAATTCTTTTGTATCTTTTGTTTCGGATAAGGATGTTTTTTAGAAATTTCAAAATAAAAAAATTATAAAAAATTATTGATTATTCTAAATCACATTTAAAAGTAATATAATAAATTTTTGATGATGATTTACTATCTAGATCACAAAATTATTTTGAATACTTAAAGCATTCATACAAAAGTATTTAGATATTTGTTATCATTTCTTAAATTTTAGTTTATAAAAATAAAAATAATAAAAAAATTAATTAATAAACTATAAAAAATATATATATATATATAATTGATTTAAAAAGTTTAAATATTAACACATTTATAAAAATGACTTCTATACATCGAAATTAGATAGCTGCAATCATAGATCTGTTTTTTATTCCTGCACTAAACTTGAATCCTTATAACAGAGTCTGGACACTGCATTCGCGCGCATGTCTATTTGCTACTAACAGTCAAAACCGGAAATCGCTGTATTTGCAATTCAAATGAATGCTACTTGCTGTTGTACAATATAGAATTGAATTCAAACTATTTAAATGATCCAAGATGAAAGATAGAGTAGAATAGAATTGTACAAACGAATAAAAATATGTCTGACAGTGTGTAAATATTCCTGCATTCGTTTACGCAGCGGTTAGCGCAGAAGTATTACTTTATCCTTATTGTTCATCGAGTGTTAAACAAAGATTAAATGATATTCTCTGCTAACCGCTGCGTAAATGAATGCACTTTATGTCTTGCAATCATCTATATAATGATATATTTGTATAATGTGTATACTAATCTATACTGCTGTTGCGGGATTCTCTAAACATTTTATCGATAATTATCGCAATCGTTAACTAGTGACAGCCAATGAAAGCGGCGCTTTCTTCCAGGATTATCTTGCCATTCGCTGTCGCTAGTTAATGATAGCGTCAGTTAATGCAATTGTTTCAGCAGTGTCCAATCTCTATTATAGAGACTCTAGACTTGATTGTACTAGGACTCTCTCCTTCTCGCTTTCACCAAATATCAAATATATCAAATATACCTATCTCACTTTAAGTTCTAAAAATACACTAGTTCAGCTATAGAAAACAAATCTATGTCAATCATTGACGCATATTTTTATGCATTTTATTTTTAAATTTATGTAATATAAAAATAAATAAACATTTAGCCATATCAAAATTTGCCGATACTTATAAATACGTACAAATAGATAGCGTAAAAGAATATATGCAGCAGTTTCTTAAAAAAAAAAAAAAAAAAAAAAATATTCTTCAAAATATAAGCCACTTTTTATGCTTTACACTGGAATACCCTTTAATGTGCTGCCATTTACAATTTATACTTTATTTTATATTTTTTATTTTGTATTTCATAATCTTTACGTTAACTTAACAAATTTTTTATATTTATGCTACCTTTTAATAATTCTTGCAGGCGTGCAATCGATTGTTTTTGTATCTCAGGAGACTCTCTTAATTCCTTCCTTGCTACTTCCTGTAATTCTGGATTAGGATGTTTGAGCTCGAACTCGAGCTTAAAATCGTCAATTTTTATGAACGGTATTTCAGTAAGGTCCGATAACATGATTTCTGAAAAAGTGATAACATGTTAACATCCCTCTCTCTCTTTTAGCCAATATTCATTCTATTTTTTTTTTAACAGATATTTTCTAACAACAATAGTAAACACTCGTTGATTTATGGTAACAGCTAATTTGTGTTAATTTATTAATAAGACAAGTTGTAAAGAGTATTTATAATGTAGAAAAATTTTGCAATTAATATTGTTTTCAATTTTAATTAAACATAAAAAAATATAAAAATATAAAAAGTTAATGAAATTTTTTAGAGGGAGGAGTGCAGGAGATTTTTACGGTTAAATTGGAGATGAGATTTTTACGGTTAAATTGGTGACGAAATTTGTAAATTTATTTCAAGGAAGGTACAAAGGTATTGTTATTTGTTTAAATGTTATTTATTACTAAATTTGAGTTGTAGAACATTAATTTTTAATACAAAATTAATCAAAAATAATTTATTAAAAATGTTGAAGTCTTCATTAAAAACAGACCCGAAAATTTTGAGTTTTGCAATGGAATTTTTTGTATCAAGGTTTGGATTTAGTTTTCCTCAGTGCATTTTGGTTTGTAGATTAAAATCTAAAACAGACATTAGAAAAATGCTATTACAAAATAGTAACAATATAAATTGTCGATTTTTGCAAAAATAGAGTTTTATGTTTATATTGTTACTATTTTGTATAATAATATGTTTCTAATAGTTTATTTTAGATTCAATCTATGGAATTTCCTGAGAAAAAGTAGATTAGAAAATAGTAAATTTTGTTAGAAATTACGAAATCATGATGACAAAACGCGCAGTACTCCATAGTTTTTGGGTCTGTTTTCAATAATAGTACATTATATTTCTAATGAGTCTTGCATTACAATTTAATTGTATTACAATTTAATTTTGTATTATAATATAACTTTCTACATTTTATAGAGCCATTTATTCCTTTTCCTGAAATAAATTCACAAATTTTGCTTTCAAGTTAACCATAAAAATCTCTTATCCCTTCTTAAATCAGTTTTTTATCTTATATTGTCTATTTTGATTTGAAATATTAAACTCAAAAGCAAGTCCATAATAATATATAATATACTTAGAATATATAATAATCATCACTGATAATAATCATCAATACGTTGACGTAATATATATTTATATTCTAATTTTCTAATATTACACGAGCGGTAAGCAAGAACAACTGACGCTTGCAATGAATCAAGCGATATTGTCAACAGTTGCGTAAATCAATAAAAAAAAAACACGTTTTTATTCTTCATAGGAACGATTAATGCAATTTAATACAAATAATCGACCGAATCCAGAGGCTACGGACTAAAACTTCTCATTGGTGCGTCATGTTCACGCGAACTATCATTGAAAACGTGACTCAGCAACGTTATCGGAAACATTCGAAGGAGTCATCCTGTGATCAAAGAAATATTCTGAAATCTCAAACAACTGTAACTACATTTGTACAATATTACATGATTATCCAAAAGTTCGTATGGATCTTTAAGAAAATTTAAATTATTTTAATTATTTTCTATATTATTTGCTGTATATGTATAAATAAATAGAAATTATATAAGAAAAAGAAATCATACATTATATATCATTATACATTATATATCACATAATATATATAACATATTTTATACATATATAATTATATATATTTATATGATTATGTATGTAAATTTTATACTGAAAAACAAAAAAAATTTATATAACAGATACACATGTTATACAGATATTTATTAAAGTCATCGAAAAAATACAATAAAACATTGTTGATGCTGTATAAATAGTGTCTACTAATCATCACATTAGTTTTTCTTCATGATTGATGAACAGCCGAAAAAAACGAAATTTATTCTATTACGATGACATTACATATGTTAATCACGGTATAATTTTGTCTCGATCTACGTTCTTGACCTCTATGCAGAATTCTTGTAAAACAGTTGATTGTCAGATAAATTAAAAATACTTCAACAGGTTGTACTATACAAAAAGAAAAGATTGATTACTGCAGAAAATTAGATGGTAAAATATGGCATAGCATTTTGAACTGGCTGTTGCAATCAATTAAAAATGCTGTGTCATATTCAGCCAATCTTTTCGATATATATAATAACTTTATCTGCATAAAGAAGATATGAATGTGTCAAAGAAATGGCACTATTGTTTGCTGACATAATGCTTGACAATTTTAGATATCGCGTACAATAATATTATCATTAGACTTTATATAATATTATCATTACGTGATACGAATAGAGATTGACTTAGAAAGGCAGACCTTGAGAGAGGACTCTACGGACCTTGACTCTACGGAAAAAAGGAAAGTGTAAGGCTTTTAGCAAGTTCTTGTGTAACTTTCCTGTTTTCTCTTTATCTTTAAAGTGCAATTGAAAAGCGTAATGTAAAAAGAATGATGTACATGTAAAGAATGATTTTGCTGAAATCTTTATACAGGAAATTTAAGCATGATGACCAGCGCAAAAAATTATGACATTCTAGCAATCAGTTTGAGCGTCTTACATAATTATATCGATAATTTAATAACATTTATTTTCAAATCTGAGATATTCCTCATCAAATCGAGCACCTTTAAAACGTCGTCATTTTTAATATTTTTTTTAATTTGCTGATATATTCTATTGATGAAAATATGAGACTCATGTTTCGCGAAAAAAATTTGAGATTTTTTTTGTAAAATTATTCACGCTTGTAAGTTGCAGAAATTCATAAAACTCGCTCATTAATGTGACATTAAAATTATGCGAACATTAAAATTATTATATTATCTATGATGTAAGAAGTACAAAGTGTTGCATTATTGTGCATAATGGCGATAGCAATACTGGAAAAAAACCAATCAAATTTTTTCACTTTTCTGCATATAATAGTGCTGACATATTGGAATAGCTAATCAAATTCATTCTTCTTCTATGCATCCTAGGAGGGAAAGGTATCCCTTCTTATATCATAATATCATCGAAATCATTAGTATGTAGTACCGTGCCGTTACACAACAGAATTTTTAAACTATACAGTTTATTTGAGTTTTATTTGAAATTTTCAAGATTAATTCATAATTGAACTGGGAATATGATGATATTTTTACAAAATTTTTAAATTGAGTTGATGAAAAAAAATAAAAAATGTAAACACATAGAAAATGATTGATTTATATAAAAATGGTAAATTAAAAAAAACCTATCTATAAAACAATTTAAGATTTTTAAATTGTTTCTCTTGCTTTTTTTTGTACAATTAATGAGTTTGACGATATAATAATTTGAATGTTCGCATGGGCAACATTTCTTATAAATTTTTGCAACTTATAAGCATGAATAATTTTATTTTAAAAAATCTCAATTTTTTTTCGCTAAACAGGTCTCATATTTTTATCCGTAGAATATGTCTGCGAATTTAAAAAAAAAAAATTAAAAATGACGATGTTACAAAGGTGTCTGGTTTAACGTGAAATGTCTCATCTAAATGTATCTAGTTTAATTTTTACTTTAGCGGTTAACTGCGTTTTTTGTAAGTATATGTGTTAAAGAAACTTCTCAAAAAATTCAGTAATTTCGAAAGTAGGTACATTTTACTTTCACAAAAAGTTTACGATATGTGTTTTGACACACTTGTAATAAACAATCATTTGTTGTATTCAGGCAATTAAACGTGTTCGCAGTGTTACACTGAAGGAAATGTTTTGGTATAAATAATTATTTATTTTGTTAATATATAACTAATAAAAACTTTCTTACTTGTTTATTTAGAAACAAGTATTTTTCTAATAAAAATTTGATTAAAACAATACAATTTTATTTGACTAACTAATTTTTAACAAAACAAATAATTATTATATATGCCAAATCTTTCTCAGTGTATGCATGAAAGATAATTTTATCTTGTAAATTGTGTGATATAAAAAACATCAAGCATCCAAAGAAAGTTTATGTTTAAATTTAAAAAATCATTTCTTTTGTTGATTTTTTTAAGTTGAAGTGAAAATATCTTTGAGGAGAAAATAAAAGTTTATTTAATTTCAAGAAATAATGTTTAAATCAAAGATAAATTTATTTGATTTCAAGAAATGATTTTCAAATTAAAGAAACTTTTCTTTAATCGCGATGCACAAATTTCTTTGATTTAACACATTATTTTAACCAAAAAAATTTTTCTTTAAGTATGTAAAAAACGTAACATATTAATACGCACATATTAAAAAAAATTTCTAAAAATATTCGTAACTTTCAAAAGCAATACATTTTACTTTCATGAAGTTCTCGTTATGTTTTGACACACTTATAAAAAACAATCGTGCTGAAAAAGTACAACCTTGCAATGAAATGTTTGCAGCGTTGTGTGTACCGTTGTGATAACTTTATCTTTAAAACGTGATTATCAAAAAGTGTCACGTAGCATGTTAGCTACGTTTTTCATAAGTCAACAGGAACTTCTAAAAAATTCGAAATTTTCGAAAGTAATATACTTTTTTACTACAAAGTTAACGATATGTTTGATACACTGTAAACGTTCGCCGGAATGTTGCAACTGTTCTACACTGAATCATGTTTTGCAGCGTTATGCACGTTGAAAGATAACGCAATCTATTCGCGCACACAGAAAAATACACAAGTAATAATTATTTCAAGTATTTCAAAAGTTCATATTCGCAAATCTATCATAAGTTCATTATAAATATTAAATTTATTCAAAATATGAATCCTAATAAGTTTAATATTTCAATCAAGTTTATTAAATTAAAAGAAATTCATTATGAAAAGTTCGTTTCTTCGATCAATTTTATAGTATTCTTTAGAAGAAAATAAATTCTTGTTTCGAGTATATAATAATGAGTTTTTCTGAAATTTTGTAATAAGTATATTTTAAGATTATTATCAAGAAAATATTCTTTGTTAAAGATAACTGTACTTAAAGGAAAGAAAATAAATTGAGTAAGCACTTTTCTATGATTGATTTTTTCTATGTGTACTTGTTTC